AGTTGAACCTTTGTTAAAATCTAGAGACCGTCACCTGGCAGGTGATTATATATATATATATATACCCGAATATAGTGGATTATCATGAGTTTAATTCATGTTCCATCTGAACATTGCTATTTATTTGGGGTATAACCTATTCACAGACACACCCGGATACCTAGACCCTCAGTTTGTACCCCAAAAAGGTGCTTACCCCATCATGAAGTGCTTCTTGAATCATTTTTTGGGTGCATTTGGAGGTTCTAGGTATGTACAAGTATATGTATATACATTATCATATAATATCATATGTTGAATCAACGGACACCAAAAACTGAAAAGGCCGTGAAAAGTGAGTGAAAAGGCCGTGAAAATATATTCTCAATGTTTTCCACAATTTCCTGTAACATGGGTAAGTTGTAGCCTTTTAGTCATACCTGTCCGACCTGTGATAACGCACAGGAAAGCTATCCTGGATTATCCGGGTATCCTTTTGGAAGCGCAGGGTTAGATAATGATATATATATATAATTAATAATATGTAATTCAGCCACTATTGTTCTATAGTTATATATATAATAATAGTATTTAATAGTTATAAATATATATATATATATATATACATAATTCTACTTGAGGCCTTGCCAAGTCCATCACTTGGCTTCAACTTTTTTGGTTTCGCCAGGCAAAGGTGCTTCCGAACAAGAAAGGCGTTGAAGCACTGTGTCCTCCTGGGCACGGGGACCTGTTTTTTTTCTTATGGGAACGTGTTAGATGTTGGTGATTCTTTCGCGTTTAGGTGTACCTTCTGTGAATATGATATATATATATACACATACATACATACATCCTTTCATGCATGCATGCATGCATACAGACAGACATACATACATACTCATACATACATACATACATACATACATACATACATACATACATACATACATACATACATACATACATACATACATACATACATAATCATACATACATACATAATGATATGTACATACATATTGATACATGCATACATATTGATACATACATACATAATATTATATACATACATACTCATACATAGTCATACATACATACAAACATACATGCATACATACATACATACGAACATACATACATACATACGAACATACATACATACATACATACATACATACCTACATACATACATACAGACATACAGAGATACAGACATACAGACATACAAACATACAAACATACAGACATACAGACAGACAGACATACATACTCATACATACATACATACATACATACATAATCATACATACATATTCATACATACATACATATTGATACATACATACATATTCATACATACATACATATTGATACATACATACATATTGATACATACATACATAATCATATATACATACATAGGCATACAAACAACCAAACAAACAAACAAACATACATACATACATACATACATAATCATACACACATAATCATACATACATATATACATAATCATACATATATACATAATCATACATACAGTTACATACAGTTACATACACACATACGAACATACATACATGCATACAGACATACAGACATACAGACATACAAACATACAGACATACAGACATACAGACATACAGGCAGACAGACATACATACATACATATCTTTCTATCTATCGATATCGATCTATCTATGTATCTACCTCTCTATCTATCTATCGATCCATCTATCTATCTATCTATCTATCTATCTATCTATCTATCTATCTATCTATCATTTTATCTATCATTCTATCTAATCTAATCGATCCGTGGATCTATCTATCCATCCATCTATCTACCTATCTATTTATCTATTTGTCAAATATATATATTTATATATATATATATGTGTGTATATATGTATCCACATATGAGCATGTGTGCATGTACATCTACGTACATATATACGCACACATACGGCAGGAAATCTGTACAAGACAGAGGTCAGGGTTTGTGACAGTTTACAGTACATGTATCGTCGAGACAACAAACATATCAAGAACCTTGAAACTGAGCAGCGTAGGGTACGAATCAAGTTGACACAAGTATGTATTCATAGTTACTGTCTAAGATCACACAGATGGGTCAGGTACAGATTGTTGAACCACATTGAACCGAGCAACTTAGTATGAATTGACATTTTACCAACTTGGGGTGTGGCTCAACCACCAGCAACTGTTGGTCCCAAAGCTGAGATCATCCGTGGTGCAGATAGTTTCAGTCGGTAAGTGATTAGTATCCGTTGTAGAATTTGACGAAGTGGTATACAGATAACTTATGATAACTTCAACAACCTGAAGATCGAAAACACTGAGGTGTACATCCCAAACTTACCGAACCCCCCACCCTTCAGAAAGGCCTATTTATCCTATTTTTCGGAAATCATGAAACCACCCATGCATCAACCTTTCCGCGGGGCAAAAAGGCCACCTTTTCGCTGAGGATGTTTAGCGTCTCCAGCAACGAGGGCCTCTACGACGTGCACTTGGTGATTGACAGCAGTTCCAGGTCCAGACATTCCAGACACTGCAAAAACCATATGGCACCATATTATGGCTGGTTGGTGGTTTCATTTTTTTTGTTTTCCATATATTGGGAATAATAATCCCAACCGACTAATATTTTTCAGAGGGGTTGAAACCACCAACTAGATAAATACCTTGGTTGATTTTTTTGGTTCTGAAAAACCTGGAGTTATACTCCCCTGCAAAAATTCGGGATTATGAACTCACCCATATTGGGGATTATTGTGACCCATTAATGAGATGAAATTGTAAAAAAACAATTTGGGGCCTGTCTGGAAATGGGGGTATACCCCCCAAAAACGGCCGTGAGACATAGGGAACATGATGATAAACCATTGGATTTTGAGGTAGCCAATTTTCAGACAAACACATATTGTTTTTGAAATGTTTTTTTGGCGCAATAGAATTGCAACGGATCGAAAATCGATGTTTGATTAATACATGAAAGTGGTGATGAAAAAATCTGTTGCATGGAGTAGCCATTTTTTAGGCAACTGACAACCGTGCCGTGCCATGCCATGCTATGCCATCGCTGCAGCAGGTCGAAGAATCACCAGACGTTGACGGTCGGGTCCACGGAGAGTGATCTGGATTCCTCTGCCAAGTCTGAGTCGACCAGTTCCTTCGTTCCTTGGTGGTTGAATCACCGGGCTGGAGATTTCCGAAAAGGAAAAAACATGGTATGTTTCAAGCACCTCATCTCGCGAAAATGATGAACATGTTGGATTGAATGGGAATAGGATGGTGATGTTTCTGGGAAAGGGGACATATTCTCAGAGAATTGGAAATAACAGGCAGGATGAAGGCTGCGGCTAAGGTTGGAGCATTCATTGGGTATTTGGGTGATCTATTGGGCAAAATCAGGAAATTTCAACCCATTGAATAAATATGGATGACTTATTGGGGAAAATGGTTCAACTTATTCCTACATTTATTTGTGGTCCCCTTCTGAGTTGCTGTCACTTTCCCTCGAGCCATGTTCAGAAAGGGTTTCTGGTTTCGGAAACATAAAACGTATTCAGACTATTTTCACACATTGTTTATCATGCTATTCGGAAACAATGGTTACCATTTTTTGCTCAAACTATTCGGAAAAACACTGGTTACATCTTAATTTTCACACACATTGTTCGTAGCTTTGAGCAACAAATCATGGACTTCACCGGGCAAGCCCATCAGGCTGTGGATGGTTGAGAGATGTTTTGTTGATGGTGATCTCTTTGTAATATGTACAGTTAAAACATGTTGAAACCAAGGCACTACAGTTCTCTATGAATCTGGTTGATTCATAAATAGAGTGGTGCCCCAGGCCTTTCACAACCAATATGTAAATTGTAGAAGCTGCAAAAGATGAGCCCTTGATGTTCTCCGTTCACGGATTCATCTAACTTTTCACCGCTGCTGTCAGGTACCCATCGAGAGGAAACACTCCACCTGTCACTCTGAGATCTTCAGGTGGGGGCATGAAATCCGATGATCATTGGCCGCCAGATGTAAAGGGGATGTTTAACTGACAAAACCTGAGCATAACTATCATAAATAATCCCCGTTGCCATTTCCTCCACAGAATGGGAGGGGTTGGGGTGCCTATAGGGCACCATTCTGTGGAAAGCAGGGGCTGGAAATGGGGTCGAGCATGCCATTTTGTAGTAATTTGTGTGTTTTACCTGGTTTTATCATTTTTGTTTTGAAGGCATGATCATTTATGGGCACCAAGACAAACCATTTTGTAACAAACAAAAAGCCATTTTGTAGATGTTTTTAAGGGTATGATTTGATGGTTTTAAAAACTGTGAATTAGTCAGTGACAAAGAAAAATCAGCTAGCCATTCTGTAGAGAACCCATCGTTTCAATAAATGTACCATTTTGTAAGTGCATATTTGTGTTTGCAATGGTTGGCTCGGAAACACTTTAGGACATATAAATTTCCCCGCCGTCCCAATAATCCACCATGTTGGCCCTCGTGTGCTTGGTGCTCATCGCACAAACTTCGTGGGCTGTGAAAGATGACACGGCTATATGCACTCCTGAGGACCAGCAACTTGGCTATGTTTGGGCAAATGTAAGGGCAGCTGGTCCATGAGGATTGTTGTTAATCTAAACTTAGTAATAGTAGTTTATAGAGCTGAGCGGGTTACCTTTTTTCACAACTTTGCCGACACCTTCCAAGATAAGAACCAGCGCGCTTTGCAGGGTCTTGCCTGCGCATTGCGGGAAGCGCTTTTTTTTCGCAGCAGCAATGATAATAGATCTTGCTGTGTAAGATCTGTGCATTTGCCAGGATGATGCACGAGGGTCGCCGTCCGGGAATGCCAGACATGGAGGCGAAGAGCTCCAAAGTTACATGTGCTGTGGAAATGCAAAACGCATTGTGACACCAACAGCACAGCATGAAGAAGAGAGAAAGACCAAGGACGATGTATGCGTTTGAACTCTTCGCATGCACCTGGGGAAAAATGCTTGACCATGCTTCTGGGATTCTGGGTATGTTTTTTCTAGAAAATGGTTAGTCCTGCTGCATAGAGTCGACCATTTTGTAGACTGGTGTAGGTCTGAAGATAGATACCCTGTTTTCATGATTGTGTTGAAAAGAGCAGTGGCAAAGAATTGTGATTGAATTTGTTCCTTCTGGATCCTTCTGAATTTTCTCGGATTCTTCAGCCTTATCCAAACTTCGAGACCGATTGTTCCATATTCCGCCTGACCACCTGTGCAAACGGCCGATGGAGTTCATCGAAATTTTGGCGGTGGCACTGGTCTTTTTTGGTGGGATGGCATTGGGCGCTTTGCTCACCACACTGTGGTACTATTGCCGCTCTGCCACGGCCACAGCAGGCAAGACAGAAGCCACGGACCATTCTTCTCCTGATCTTCGGCTTCGGGACCGTTTTTGTGACTGGAGCCGGAAAAAGTTTCCATCTGCAGATGGATTGCCAGCACATTTTTGGCAAAAAAAATAGAAAAATATTCATGCTGCAAAAGTTGCATGAAAAAAAATGCATCCACCTCCGACAAGGATGAGTGAAGATGGACTAGAGGGTAAAAACCCTACAAAATGGCACTGGGAAAAAGGCAGTTGACGCTGAGGTCTTGCCAAGATAGAGGCTCTACAAAATGGCTCTGGGATTTTTTATATGTTTTATAAGATCATGAATGCACTGGTTTGATCATTTTTTGACAAAATGGTCAATATATTTGTGGATGAAAACAGGTGACAGGCACTACCATTTTGTAGAGCCATGGGTTATAGACAGACCATTTTGTAGGATGGAGACTCTGTACCGGAGCCATTTTGTAGAGAGGGGTTGGTTCACTACAAAATGGGGCACCCCAACCCCACCCAGGGAATGGGAACGAGGATCATAAATATATAAAATTATAATAAATATAATATATATATATATATATATGTATATATATATATGTATATATATATGTATATATATATACATATTACCATCAAAAAATTGGATTTCACCATCATTGTAAACATTATAGCCAAACATGGGGATTTAACTATTCGACTATCAAAACTTGGGATTTCACCATGAAAGGTACGGAAACGACGCGGGAAATAGTCATTTTGGATCTAGTTGGAGGTCCAGCATTTGTAGGAAATGCATATTCACATAGTCCAGTCGATAATCTTAATCTCTACTCTCTACTGAACTTTGATGATGGACTTTGAATTATCTTTGATATTGTCCATTGATTATTTAATTTTTGAAGTCTCTAGAATTATCCATAACTGGTTGGTGGTTTCAAACATTTGGATTATTTTCCATTTCATACGCTGGGGATGTCATCCTTCCCATTGACAAACTTCATCATTTTTCAAGATGGTTATTGCACCACCAACCAGATAGTAAATCCATTTATAAATGGTTGATTTGGCTATTTATAGTTGATTTACCACAGTTCTGTTCCATTAATTACGAATTATATCCAATTATTACTATACAAAGCTGTCAGTGGATAATTCTGGCGCCCCATGAGATCCAACATGTCTGTGGAATCTTTGGCCGTCCAACAAAAAAGGGGGGTTCCCCAAAAATAGGGCTACCCCAATAGCTGGATGGTCTATGGTTAGTTCCATCGTCAAAATCCGAACATACTGTGGATGGTTGCGAGTTCCGAATCACCAGTTGAAAACGGTGGTTTATTTATCCCATTATTTATGATGGTTTATCCGATAATCCCATTATTTATATTTATTTATAATATAGGGTTTCCAAAGCCATCCTTTTGGTGGTGCAGGATTTCGCTGGCCCAACCGTAGATGATCCCCGGTGGATTTCCAGGACGAATGCAACCAAGTGTTATATAACGTGTTCGCGGTTGCAACCAAACACTTTTCACATTCTTCATGCGGTTTTTTTTTGTTGCGTAGCTATTGTATTTTTATAATCAGGTAGAAACGGCTAGGTCTTGATGTCTGTAGGTAAGGACGACACCAATGTGCTTGGATCGATTGATAATTTGACGGATAAATAAAGATAATTGTATGCAAAATACATATAGTCCATTTGAATCCATTAGATCAATATTAGATCTATTTTGTTCGTAAGACAGAAATAGATATGTTGTGGATATTGATGTGGTAAGATATATATATATATGTATAGACAATCTATTTTAAATCTATTTTGATCGGTAGTCACATAGATTAACAAGTAGAGATCCATTCTCAAAGGCCATGTCAGTGTGCCTGAACACGGATCAATCCCGCCAAGCTGCAATATGAATAAGGAAAATGAGTCATCAATTGATTTAGAGGTACTGTACTTATCTCTATATCATTGTATATCTACTAGGTGGTTCATCCCTCCTAGTAGGTTTTTTTCCTCTGTTGTAAGTGGATTACAGAAATGATGCCTGACATCACCCCACTCGGCAAATGATGCAGGGCCGAGCCGCTGAAAAATGATGCCACGGCACCACGATGACTCCTGGGCGCTGGAACTCCAGAGTGTCAACAGTGGCAATGGGGATGTTGACTATTGGTCTAATCACTAATCGGATGGTTAACCCTATCCATATTGGCCAACCATTATTAACCATCATTAAACAACTACTCTAGACTCTTGAAAGCAATTTAAGGGATGTTAATCAGGGTTATTGCAGCAAGATGTTCTTGTGATGTGTCACTTTGTCCAATCAAGAGGTTACTAGGAAGAAAGGGGATCTATTCCATTGCAGTTAACATGTTGCCAATGAGAATTGGGCAGATTTAGCTGATTTAGCCAATGGACACTTAGATTTTCGCTCGCAAATAATGAGGATTGTATGAACACACACATATGTATATAGAAATGTATACATTTATACATATATACATATATACATATAAACATATATATATACATATATATATACATATATATATACATATATATACACATATCAACATATATATATATGTATAAATACATGTATATATATATATATACATAAACATATATCAACATGTATAGAAACATATGTATATATATATATAGACATAAACATATTTAAATATATACAAATATAAACATATATATATGTTTACAATTACATATATATATATATATACATACATACATATATATATATATACATGTGCAATTAATATACGGCTGCTGGACAGACTGGAGATGAGGTCAGCTGTTTGTAGGAGCATTTCGCCAAGCTGCTCAGCTGTGGCAGTGCCGTTGTCGTTTTCTTGGGACCATTTTGGAAAGGGGGCTATCCCCCGAAATTGCCAGTCTCATGGGAACATTATGATTAACTGATTCACCAGAGGAATTAAGGGGTATCATATTTTGAGACAATGCCACATTTAGAATTTTTGGCCTTTTTGTGAATGTAATTATGTGTTTTTCTTTTCTGGGCTACTGGGCTACAGGGCTACTGGACTTACAACCACACTGCCGCTCGGCTCTCGCCAAGTGTCCCCATGATGGTCTCTCCACTTTTTCTTTGAAGTAAACAAATCGAAACCTCATGAAATACCATTCATCCAACATTGACCCTGTCAAGTGGGGATTGGAAGATTACTGTCCTTTGAGAGCTGGTGAATTCTCCGCAAAGATGTTATGTATCTGGATGGATTATAACCATGCGCTTTGATTTTGATGTTTTTGGAGTTCGATGGAGTTTCCACGTAACACACTAAAAGTTAAATGTAGGGCAGTTGATTGGTGCCTGTGACCGTTGACCCATATGTTTCCATCCATTTCAGAGAAAGGCGCATATGCGCGCATTTAGTTTTAATTACTGTGCTGAGGAGCTTGCTTAATTCACCCCTGTTGGTTGATGTTTCATGGTGATTCCAAAGATTAGAACTGCAAAATATGCGTAAAGAAGAGGAGTTGTGCATTAAAAATGCGGCAATGTTAGGCGGTTTACTTCTTACTGATACTTACTGTAGATTTTAAAGGTGATAAGACTCAGGTGACCCACAGTTAAAGCTTTTCAGCGATTATAATTTGTTATAAATGAGGTTACATGGTGTTATTTCACGGACCTATAACTCTTCTTTTAGGGCGGCAACTGCAGGTGCCTCTAAATTCTGACGTGTTCTTTTTGCCTTCTTTGCCACCAGCCCTGCCGCTGTCCGTTACGTTGGCGATGCTCTGTCACCTGTCCTCGCGTCCGCTTCACTGCGATTGAGCTCTGACTGCAACTTGCCAGGCGTGCATTTAAGTTGACAAACATGTGGTTAGGCAGTTGCCAGTTCTTCCTTCATTTCGTGTTTGGAAGATGTTGCAGTTGAGGGATGGCGTGTTTTCAAGCCGCGAGGTGTGAAATCAGCGCAGCGGCCCAGTTCAGTGATGGTTTCCGATGGACACATTGAAAGAACCATATGGGAACCCCATAAACCTCCAATTTGGGTATGGTACACTATCTGTGAGATGACACAAGGACACAGTTCTTTCTTGATTGTATCATGTGTTCATATGTTTTCCATGTCAACATTGTTATGCATTGATGGGGGTTGCCAAACAGTTAGTCAGTCCGTTGGATTTGCGACATCTTTGCAGTTCTAGGGGATCATCAGAACATTTTCCTGTCCAAAATATGTGGATTATCCAGGTACAAGGCTGTGCCCATTATGCCGTTTGTGCCCGACAGCAAGCTGAGTTGGTGTAATATCTAGATTAATTGAGTGATTATTTGATGGGTCTATGCTCATTTCAACTACGTATAGTTACTTGAGGTTTTAAACACACAAAAATAACTAGGGAACCTCTGCCATTTATAGACATTTATAGATGATGTTCCCAATACAATAACCATTTAAATTTACAGGGGATTTCCCTGCAGCCTGCCATGTTGGGTACCACCTGGTCGAGCCACCCTCCGCAGGATGCCTTTGACAAAGCGGCGCAAGGAAATCAATTGGTTTCCTGGCCCAAAAAAAGATGAAAAAAAAATGGCTTTGTTCAGGGCAGCACAAATATTGAGCATTTCTTGGAATTATTAATTGTGTGTTGTCAGGCTGCCTGACCCATATAAAGGTTTTTTCACCAGCAAGACACTGAGGTACTACCCACAAATACAGTGAGAACATGATTATTGCAGTTGGTTGAAGGGTTGGTTTTCATGGTGCGGAATGCTTTAAGGTACCCCACTGGAAATCAAGTGTTTAGGGATGGCTATTGGCCATGAGAATTGGGGGCTCGACCAGCAGCAATGGAGATTTCATCAGTTAAAGTTAAAGCTCCTCTGGACCCGAAAGGTCTTCGTCAACCGCCTTGACCCTCATATGGTCGTGGACAATGTGTTTGGGCATACTCAATTTAGATGGGTCAATTGAGGGTCATAAGTCATAATACATATTCGATTATATTTGATCATACGTGGATTGGCGTATTTATATATATGTATATATATATATATATGTATTTATATATATATATACATATGTAAATATATATATATATATATATAATGCCAACACCGGATTAATAACCCCCCCCAGAAGGTAGGGGGGGTACCTTCTGGCTAGTTTTCTTGACCACCCCTAAATAAACGCACCCTGAACCATAAAATCCTGAACCATAAAACTTTGGACATGGCTTACGTCAATTAGATCTTCATAGAATTCCATTGGATTTGTTAAAGTCTCATGGATCAGAAAGGGGGTTGATTAATCAGCGGCAAACCGTGGTTATTATTAATGGGGGACATGGGCTTATGGGGGGTACCCTTTGGGAGCTATCCAAACAGATAATTTTCATAAAGATTTTAATTAGAAATCGATCATTTGGGGAATAGTTGTTTTTTGAAATTTTCAATGATCAACTTAAACCTTAAGTATAACAATGATGATGAAAAAAAGTAAAAAAGAATTGGAAATAACAGGAATTAGAAATAAAAATTGTTGGATTAAAAAAATGGATTTCAGAATTGGTGGTTGATTAATCGGGGGTAGGCCAAAGTGTTTATTAATCCTGGGGGACCACCTGTTTTTAAATTGCAAAAAAAATGGGAGGAGGAGGAGGTTGATTAATAACGGGGTGTTGATTAATCCTGACTTGGCGTTATATAATCTTAGTTGCGGATTCCGGATTAATAAATAAGGGGGGTCACATCCCCCCCGCAATAATGTAAAATAATGCAAAGCATTTCCTGAGTTAGTTTTTGTTTCCAGATTTCAGTTTCAAAGGTGTTCGAAACCAGTTTGAAATATATATATATATATACAGAGGTGTTTGAAACCAATAAATACAAAGGTGTTTGAAACCAGTTCAAATACATACATGTATATATATTAAAATATACATACATAATCATACATACACATACATACACATCCACATTCACATCCACATCCACATGCACATACACATACACATACCCATACATACACGTACATATACATACACATACAGACACACACATAGATATACATACATATACATACACATACATACAGAGACATACAGAGACATATCTTATACGCATACATATACATACACACACATACATACATACATGCATGCATACATACATACATACATACACACACATACACATACACATACACATACACATACACATACACATACACATACACACACATACATATACATATACATATACATACACACCTATACATGCATATACATATACATATACATATACATATACATACATATATATATATATATATACGCATACCCTTACACACACATACACATACACATACAAATACACATATACACACATACACATACATATACATATACATACACATACACACACCTACACATACATACATATACATACACATACATACACATACATACACATACATACACATACATATACATACATATACATACATATACATACATATACATATACATACATGCATACATCCATCCATCCATCCATCCATCCATACATACATGCATTCATGCATGCATACCTACATACATACATACGCAGTTGAAAACCATTACCAAAAAATGGCCGGGCCGGAGGAAAAAAAAATGTGGGTGTGTTTTTCATGGCCAACAACATGACGGAATAATAAAAGTAAAAGGGCGCAATTCAAAACGAATACAGCAGAAAAAATGAGGCTCAGCCGGAAAACTTTATATTATTGAGGAGGTTTCATGAAGTGGGAGCTAAGAGTATATATGCATATATATATATATACATATGTGTACATATATATATATATACATATGTATATGTATGTATATATATATATTGGAGTTGATCTAAGGTCCTTGTAAGGACTATGTGCTACACATTTAGATCAACTCCCATATAATTCCATATGATTCATGTATGCATTTATCATCTACAGGCACTGGGAACATTGACGTTTTTTGGTGCGAAGCCGAGGCTTACACAGAGATGGAGGACTAGCCTGTAAGGGCAGGGCAATGGCTTCTCCGCATGGGTCACGCCTAATTTCAGGCTCAGTTATTGGGATATTAATGGAATAATA